AAGTTCTTTTCAAACTACACAATTATACACTGCAAGCAAATTATGTAGAAGAAAGAATCTTTCCCACGCATTTAATAATTAAAACGCGTTTCTACGTGTAGAAGTCGGCAGGCTATTCCCGACTAAAATAATGATTAAAAGAGCGGTTGTTCTAGCGGAACCAACTGATATTTGCCAGCAAAGTCTTTGATCTTTGAACAGAATACGCTCGTGGAAGCTGAAATCTAACGCAAATTGGTTTTTTCTCCAATTCTTTCCTCTAATCGAACTGTTCTGTTCTGTTTGACGAAATTATTCCTTTCTCTGTTCTGCATTCTTGCCGGACAGCAATTGTCATCTCTCAATTGCATTCTTGGTACTAACGAAGGATTGCACATTTGTCTTTCGATTTACCTACGGAAAATTTCCATTAGTTTCTCAAAGACTCACAATTACATATAATTACACCTATTTTAATTGGAGAATTCATCAAAAATCGTTCCAAAAATTACATCCTCACATGTTTCGAATTTCATCTAATTCTAAACTCGTAATTAAAATGTTGACTCTATTCACGTTCAATCAATCGTTGATTCAAATCATTTTCGAAATGTCTAAAAAAATATTTTTTTAATCTTTGTGCTGAGATCCCCTTTTGGATCACGATGACTATAATTAATACAGCTTTAAACATGCTTTCGCATTTAATGTATCAATAAAACAAGTTCATAAATCATCTCTTACAAATCCTATGTCCCATTTTAACATTCCAATATGTCTCCCTCTTCAGAGTTCCCTATAGAGTTTCAAGAAAACAATTTATAGTATATTATTTATGTATTATCTCTACTTATTTTATATTCTATTATATTGTCTTCAACATTTATAATGCATTGTACTTGTATAATATAATATAATATGTTATTATATATTATTTATATCTATTTTATGTTACACTACATTACCCTTCATAAACTTGATTATACCTCAATAGAAAAGAAATAAGCCTTATCTCGTTTTTCAACTTTAATCTTTTCTCAAAGATTTATCAAAAAAAGAATTCTATCCAAAGTGCAACTTTCAACATACCACGCACTGTACTATTTTGATACTTCAATGATGACTTCAATGAAACAAATTGATTTCATCTTTCAATTCCAATTCTACCAAATTCCCCGTCTACTCTGCATTACCGGGGAAGCACGCCGATAAAAGAAAATCAGATTCTCCCCCTATAGCCTTCAATTCCAATTCCCTTTGCGCGAAATAAACAGTTGCAACAAGTTAGAAAACAAAAGTTGTTGCTCAAAGTTGTTGCCCATTATTCGTGCAGCTCGCAGAATACGCTCGCGATTCGCCTGTATTCAATCATGAACGAAGTTCTCCGCCGAATTGGCATATTTAAAGGCGCGCCTCGCCGCATTAGCCGTGCGCTTCGAGGCAATTTTCAGCCACCCTCGTGCAATACACGCCAGGGGATTCCTCTTGCTTTTCTCATGTACACTTAACGACTGGTATTCATGAGCGGACAGACTAGAGTAATCGCTTCACAATGAACCGCTCTAAAAGTTGTAAGATTTCCGTTTCATTTGGAAATTTGTCGCTCGGTCTTCCTCGTCGCCGGAAATCTTACTGCCGAGCCGTTTCATTAGGCTCTTTGCTCAAATTCACGCGAATAAATCCTGCCCACCAGGTAGAATTTTTATCTATGCAAGTGTCGATCGATATTATGACTTTCAAGGATTTCTATGTGTAGAATGTGATTAATAATAATTTAAGCATTATTTGTCACGTGATTATTGTGATGTTTTGGACGAAGATTTAATTGAGAGGGATGTGCTCAATATTGAAGATTTTGCGCCTGAAATAGAATATGCAGGTTTCTATT